AGGATGATGGTAGAAAATAAATGCAATGTTTTATTTAGAAATCCCTTAGGGGATTTCCATCTTAGAAAATTTTAGCATACAGTATTGATCCTTTTGCCATGATATGGTCAACATAGTAAATCAAGTGTTTGGGACTGTTTGCGTGGTACATGTAAATCTACATAAAGTATGTTACTGCTGTAACCATTTTAATAGTTTGCGTAGGTCTGAGCCCACAGAGCAGGCTTGGGTGGGCTCAACCAGCTTATGTGACAAAAGTACACTATCTCCTTGTTAAGTGGCTCTTCACAAACCTGTCAGTCAACCCAGAGTCTTCCTGCACCAATTAACCACACGACTCCCTAGAAAAGTTTATGTTTTAAATTTCACACACCGAAGCCTGAAAGAGTTAAACATTAAAGAACAATGACCGAATCCAATTCTCTACCTCAGAAAAAGGAGTATTAAAAATGCTTTGTTTTACGTAAGAGTAAATTTGTGATTCACTGTACATTTTTCAAAGCTGTGTGTGTGAAAGACTGTAAAAGAAATCTGAGAGTACTACTTATATACATGTTTCCTATTACTGAACAGTTCACTATAAATGGAAATCCACATAAATATACTGACAGTAAAATAAATTAAGCTTAAAAATAAAACTTATCTAACAACATAAAATAAAAGTCAGATTTTGAGACTTGCTATAAACCATAATTTGAGGATTTTAGCATCAAAAGCTTGCCTGAAGTTAGTTACATCAAAATTCCCCTACTGAAGAGACGGACTTGAACATAAATTAAGAAGGACCAAAATATACATGCTGTTCCAGTGACAAGTCAATCTGGGAATACGAAAAGCTCTTACAAGTTTTGACATTTATCCTAGAAATATTTTATAGTTTGAAAAACACTTAGTAAACAAGAAAATAGTTACATCAGAATATAATACGTTGGCCAGCAATAACTGGTATGGAAGTAAATAAAGCAGCACAGGAAAGACAACTTACAGAATACTAAGCACTCATGCCACAGAGAAAACAAGTTCCATTCTAGAAGAGGAAAAACTGTTATGGCTCGGTGATGAATGTTAAACTAGCAGAATTAAAAATGAAAGAAACTACCCAAACCATCATTTTGAAACTATTATTCTGATTTTGAGTTTTAATTTTTATTCTTTCTCTAGTCTTGTCTAGAAATCTGCAGTTTCAATATTATCTGCTTTTCCCACACTCCCAGACTCTCTAGAATGCTACTGTGTGCTTAGCACAGCACTAGGAGATAACATCTTCAGCATCAATTGTGTGATCATTCTTCCCAGCTGAAGACACGGTTTTAACCCAACAGAACCTGAACTGGGCAGGCTGGATTTTATAAGCCATTTGCTGTACCCACCAAAGAGAGAGATTGAATCCAGTATCCACTTCAGTGGTCAATGTGAGCAGGGACATGACTCAGAAGTGCAAAGTGGCCACGTCCCAGAATAGAGTCAGGCTTAAGGTGAAGGGAGAAGGGGATTAAATTGTGGATCCTGTTCTTACTATGTGACCTAGAGGAAAGTACCTAATCTCACTAAGTTTCAGTTTTCCCACTTGCAAAATTCAGAGCAGTAATATCTATGTTAACAGCATTATACAGAACAAATGAAATAACATATAAAGTACCTGGCATGAGTGCCATGTGCTCCAAGTCCTGGTTTTAAACCTTGACGAAAGTGCATACATTCAAATATTATATCATCTCTATTTTAAGAAAGAAAAAAGATAGATATATACACTGGAGCTCAATATGCATGTGCTGGAAGCAGGTAGAGAGGTAAGGTGGGAGGGAAAGACCATCTATTCCCATAATTTATGTTCCTTAGATTCTAAAGAAAAAATACCAATAAATTTGGTTCAACTCAATGTCAGAGGATAGAAAAAAGAATAGACATTCTTTCCACCTTCACTGAATCAAATCTAAAAGAGGGTCACACCAAGTTACAGTCAATGCTGAAATCCAAAAAGTTCTTAAACGTTTTTAAAATTGTTTTCATATATAAATTTGATGGCAAACACATAGCACAGGGAGATCAGCTCGGTGCTTTGTGACCACCTAGAGGAGTGGGACAGGGAAGGTGGGAGGGAGATGCAAGAGGGAAGAGATATGGGGATATATGTATAGTTGATTCCCTTTGTTATAAAGCATAAACTAACACACCATTGTAAAGCAATTATACTCCAATAAAGATGTTAAAAAAAAAATTTGATGGCAAAATGAGTCCTAAGCTTGAACTGGCTAGGGGCTTTATAGTCATTCTAAATATTGAGCATAAATATTCATATACTGTAAGTTTCATTATGTGGTAAGGTCCCAAATCCCACTGGTAATGTGATACAATGTATGACAAACAGCAGTAGCTTCTGAAAATACATAGTAATCAAAATGCCTAAACACATGTAGCCCAAGAATTTCAGAGAAGGGAATCTGAATAATCTCTGCCTAAGGAAAAAAGGGAGAACAGCTACATAAAGAGGTAAACTGACTAAGGTAGAAAAATTTATAATTAAGAATTAATTTTCTATCCTTCTTAGATTAGTATTTGCTTAGGACCCTTGAATATCCTATAATACAGAAACAACCACACTACTTACATCATTGCGTTCTTGGAGAAGCAAGAGATAATCTATATAAAATGCTTTAAACAATGCCTGGCACAAAGTAAGTACCCAGTGAATGCTGTGTCATACAAGTGCCTAGAAAAATACTTTGAACATTTACATGGAAAACGCAAACAGGTGAGTAGATAGCTCAGATAGGTAGCCTGCTATATACCATACTCTATTTTAGAATTTTATTTTTAAAAATCTAAGAGTTTCCCTTTTCCTATGCCCGGAATTGTTTCTACTATGAGGCCTCAGAGACAGTATTAGTTCAAGTCATAGAGGCAGGTAGCAATCCCAGTTGAGCCAACAAACATTTGAAACCGACAGCGTGGAAAGACTTGAAGCTCTAAATACAATAAAAGATATTATTTGGGAAAAAACATCAACTATTAAAGACTGGAGAGTAGCCTAGAAGAATGCTTCTGGAAATTAATGTACAAACTAATGAGCCAGAGTTTTTGTTAAAACGCAGATTCTGACTTAACGTGTCAGGGCCAGACATTCTGCGTTCAAGTTCTCTGGTAATCACAACACTACTGGTCTAGAAACCCAAACAGAGTAGGAAGGCACCACAGCAGTGGTCCTCAAAGGGTATGAGCAACATCAGAATCTCTTGGGAAGTTAATAGAAATGCAAATCTGCAAGAACATAAGGAGACTCTTCTCTAAATCAGCTGTTTACATCCAGACCGATTACTTTCCCTAAGAATCAAAGTAGAATACTTTTTAAATACTTGACAAGTAGCATACTAGAACATGTTACCTAAACAATTTCTCTCTGCAAACAATTTCCAAAGCTAAAGCCCCCTGCAATTATACTTAAAAGGTAGGCTTTTACATGATAAGAAGCCTGTTCTTGATAATACATAGGTGAAGTACTGAGATACGTAGCAGCCTCACTTGAACTACCTGCCAACTTTTCACAAAATGGCTCACTTCCGTTTTACCTAGGTCATGGAGATATGCGTTTATAAAGAAACCAGACTGAGTTTTAAATTTCCTTGTGCTGAGAATATAGCCAACTACAACATGGTTTAGGCAACTTCTCCAGAGTAATGTTTATACATAGCCTGGCTCATATGTAAATATACGTCAACATTTTGATTTATAGCTATAGATGATCTGTTTACATACACAGATACACATATTAAAGTACGTTAATGGTTTGAAACACAATATTCTTGAAGGACAAAAAACATGAGGATAAACTACAAATACAGAATGTTATAAACAGAGAAAAGATTTCAGTTTTCTGAACGTGAAGCCAATTGATTGTTAAATAGGCTTTCCATAAAATAAAATAAAATGAAATAAGATATAAAATAAAATAAAAACTGTTGCCCTCACAATTCCCATTCAGTATTTCTTTCAACTTCAATCAACATCTGAATTTACAAGGTCACTTCTCAGTCACTAACTGAGTACATCGTTCTGTCCGTAACATATTTTTGAAGGAGTAAATTACAAATAGATTGTAAAGCACCACACTTGCTTAGGCATTGGGGGTGGACCCCTCTGATTTTGGCTAGGACCATGTATACATACAACAGTGGTGATGTCAGGAGACATTTGATGGTCAGAGCAGGGGAGGGGAGGGAGGGAAGAGTGCTTCTGGTATCTAGTGAGTAGGCAACTTTTAGGATGCACAAAACAGTCCCCAGAGCAAAGAATTACCTGGCCTAAGATGCCAATAGTACCAAGGTTAAGAAACTGTGATTTGAACTGTGGAGGTTGCAAAAGTACAGAATGAATGTCCCTTGTGCATCATCATCACATTTCTAGCACGGTGTCAAGCACAGTAATACATATTTGTTGATTATGAAATAAAGTACTTCTGTGTAGCTGAGATCTTAGAGTCAGAGATGAAAAGAATGAGAAAGGGGTTATTACATATATAATATCTAAAATTACAAAACAAAATTGCAGTCATTGTCAGAACTAAAAGGAATTAAAAATCATTCAGCCCAAGTTCTCTATTTCAGAAAATTTTTTTTCTCATGCAAAAGATGCTGTCTAATGTACTGATATGGCAGTGTTGGGAGGGGGTAGACAGTCCTCTGAATAAATAAAAACAAAATATAATATATTTATAAATTAAAATATCAGTTTTCACTTCTAATAGTGTCAATGTCACCTACGTTTCTCAATAAAGTATTTCCTTTATAAAAGCTAAAATCAATGTTACATAAATCATAATAAGTGATACTTCAAAGCAGGAAACAAAATATATGTAATTATTTCTCAAACAAACAACTCACAGACCTCCGTGGCCTACAGCATTTATACTTCTGAGAATTCTGGGCTTTAAAATGTCATGAGAAATTCTCAACTGGCTTACATTTTTGAAACATAGGAACTGACAGTCATAAGGCCAAACATACCCTTAATAATCGATTCAGCTGCATACAGATCTCGTTTGTAGGTCACCTAGAGGACAGATAAACTTCATTAGACTTAACAGAGTAGGAAGGAATGTGAAAGCAATAAAATTATGCCCCCAAGGAAATTCTTGATTTTGGAGAAACTATAAACACATAATACTGACAATTTTTAAATTACAACACATCAGTTTATTCAGAAAAAATATATATTGTTTCTACAAATGGTTGAAGATTTGTTTTTAAATCTTTAAGTAAATTGAGACGTTATGTGGCAGTGGTTACCAAAGTCTTATTAATATAAGTATTATATCACAGAAAACGTGGTAGCATTTAAATAAAAGTATTAGAATTACTGTTTAATAGGTTTTATGTTGGAAGGAAAGAAGGAAAAGTATATATTAAAAAAAATTACCAAATTGCATTTTCAGTTGAAATGAGATACTTCTGAAAGACCAATTCACATTGAGGGTCTTCATTCTGAATTGAGTTTATCTGTATACTTCCAGATAAGGTTCACCTTTTTAAGATTTTTATTAATACATAACTGATTGAAAGAGCCTGGAGGGTACCACCATGTATATAAGAACAATCATGATCTTTGCTTAAGAACATACAGCCTCCTTGCAATAACCTATTCCTTGTAATATACCCTGCATGGTCCTATAGCAGATAGTTCCCAGAGTACATCCAGTGAGCTCAGGTACAGAACATGTCAAGTGCATGGCACTGCAGAATCACTTTTCCTACATCACAGAACTGAAGAACATAGTAAATAATCAAATATGTTAATAAGTACTATAAGGTCTTAGGAGCTTATCGTTCAGATGATTATGATGCAAATGGTCTAAAAACCCACTTTGAGAAATACTCACTAATTAATACCCTTCCATGTCTATAATTTGGACTATTTTCCTCCAGATTATATCCTAACTAAACTTGTACAGAAACTTTGTTCAGGTAAGTGGCTCAGGGCACTTCTACCCAAAATAGGTTTCCCTGCTATGCCTGTATCCTGGCAGGTAACCCTGGTCCGAAACTATACCTTACAATCCAGAACTAATGTAGCAGCTAACCTGTAAGACAGATGGAAATTTCCTCAAGCACTCAACCAATCTATTAAAATCAAATATGACATTGTTAAATTATGTCTAAAACAAGCACATGTGAACCAAAACTAGTACTATAGTTACTGACCCAAAATGCAGTTCTCTTATCTGGGGAAATAAATAGAAAACAGACACTTAAAGCTTCAGACTATGGATTTTACCAAATTAAAGAATGTATTGATCTCATTCACTCATTCAATAAATATTTATCAAATAACTACCATGTTGTACATCCTGTTCTAAGGACTGGAATAGAGCAATGAAAACAGTGAGCAAAACTCAACCTGCAGAAACAACATTTTAGAGGATAAATTTCTTTTATAAGAATCGAATAAAACACATTTGTTTCGGGCTTCCCTGGTAGCACAGTGGTTGGGAATCTGCCTGCCAATGGGAATCCACCTGCCAATGCAGGGGACACGGTTTTGAGCCCTGGTCCGGGAAGTTCCCACATGCCACAGGGCAACTAAGTCCGCAAGCCACAAGTACTGAAGCCCGTGCTCCGCAAAAAAAGAAGCCACTGCAATGAGAAGACCAAGCACCGCAAGGAAGAGTAGCCCCTGCTCTCGGCAACTGGAGAAAGCCCACGCACAGCAACGAAGACCCAACACAGCCATAAATAAATAAATATATATTTATTTTACCAAATAAAGACAAGACAAGGCTGCGGAGCTCAAGACAGACAGGAAGCAGAGACCCTCAAGGCCTAGAGCAGAGCCACATGGGGGCTTCGGGGGCAATAGAAAAGGCTGGAAAATCAGGGCTCCCACAACACAAACCCACACACGCACCTGTGGTAGAGGCCTCCAGTCATGTCAGTTACATCCACTCTTTCTTTTAAATGCCTCTGAACACCTTCTAACCCCCGGCGTTCGGACAGGCAATGGGGACACAGCTACCTCTCGTGGTATTAAATATTAATATTAAATATTAAAAAAACACATTTGTTTCCATGAAAACCCAAAGTTAACTAGATATCTGAAATCATCACTCAATATTTGCAATTTAAGTGAGAAAAGCCTTTTTTTCCTATAACTGTCTGCTATGTAAGGTAAACTCAAATCAGAAATTAACAGGAAGATGCCTAATTACCATACCTGATTTTTTATTCCTTCCTGCTTTCTTTGAGAGATAAAACCGCATTCCAAATTTAAATAGAATAATTGTGAAAGTACCTTATTCTTTTTTCCAAATAAATCTATCTTAACAATGGGTTTTTTTAATGAAAAAAACTTGGTCTCAAATACTAAAATGATTTTTCTAGCATATTTGCAAGACAACATTTTTGCATTGGAATCAGTCTTATGAATAAAATACATGAATTATTACCTAAAGGTCCTTTCTACACTAATATTAAATAAGTAATTGTATAAGCAAGAAAGACATCAAAATTTGAATTGTGCCCTCTGCAGTGAAAGCGCAGAGTCCCAACCGCTGGACCGCCAGGGAATTCCCCTAAAATTCATCGTTTTGCCTACATTTTCTTGTTGGCTGTGGATACATACTATACACAGATTAAAGTTTTTGATGTTTATTTAATATTTTCTTCATAAAGCCTTATCGAAAACCTCAACTATACTTCTCAACAAACACTGATTTAAGGAAAATAAACTACAAAATATTTCTGACAAACTTATAAAGTACTGTGTTGAAAAACAGCCTTCTGTTTTTTCTAAATAAAACAGCTGCCATATTTCAAAGGGAAGAGTACTGAAAATGCTTTAATTCTGAATTGATGACTCTTTCTATCAAGCTTTTACAGTAATATGGAGTGTCCTTTCCTTATTTTTAATTTTATGAAAAGTTTAGTAATCAGTTTTGAGATTGATTTTCTTCTGTAAGCATGATCTGCAGGTTTTCTTTGACCTTGCATAATACCTCAGTATGGAAAACAGTTACTTAAAAAAAAAAAAAAAATCAGCCCTAGTAATAGAAGAGCCTCAATCCTCTGATTCACTGGTTTTCACACTGTGCTCCTCAGAGCTCAGGGGCCACCGGAAGACCAGTGTGGAAGCTCTGCACAGCTGACGCTCAGAGCTCCACATCTGCTACTCACCTAGTTTAGCTCAGTTTTTGCCTGTTTTGTTTCACTGTGCTTCTGTGCAATATTTCATCTAAGTATTTAGTTTTAAAAATATTTATGTTCAGTGGAAGAGAAACCTGAAACTGAGAGCCACAGAGATAGTTGCCTTTAACTCCTAGGCCAGAGCACTCTCAGCTACCTCAAGGTGAGCTCCACAGGACACTATGGTACCTGCTCTGTCTTGCTCCGTGTTGACAATATGGTATATTAAAGAGACTTCTCAGAGCCAAGTCCACTTGGCCACCATCTTACATAAATCAGACTACACTTAATGTTCTTCCATCTTTCACCTCATAAGAAAATGAGTATGTACTCCAATAATTAGAATAAAGCCAGAAAATCTTACATTTCGAAGACAGATACAAATTTAGATTTGGATGGGGATATTATATTGATTTCCAGTTCATCAATTATGTCTATCTAGAAAATGTTCTTTCCTCTAGACTGGATTATTAGATGAAAACCTCTGAAAAGACACAATTTCACCACATTGTATTTTTGAGGTTAAAAAGAAAAAAATGAGACTATTTTCTTTTGTTTTTAACAAAGATGCTAGAACACTTGAATCTAAAACAAGTAATTCCCATCAAAAGAAATCCTCAAAAGTCAGTCATTCCAATAATGTTGTGATGACACATCAACGTCTTCTAAAGAAGCATTTTCAGACAATGGAATAGTTAAATTTCTTCAATAAATTATGAATCTTTTATGCTTTGAAGACTGTTTTAACACTTAGAAACAAGAAGTTTGTTCAATTAGGTCTGTGTAGTATAGTAAGTGACCAACTCTTTATATTGGGACAAAAATATGGTACAACTATAAATTAAAGGAATGGAGACTAAATGTAGTCTCCTCTTATATAGACTAGATGAAATTTCACTAAAATAAGAGTATGTTCAGTAAGGGCTAGCTAGACACAACCACTCAGGCAGAGCTTCAGAGCCAACCCCTATTCTCAGGAGTCGGTCCTGTATTCTTCTGTGGTTGGTCGCTCTTAGGGAGGGGAAAGGAGGGAGAAGAAGGGGGTTTTGCTCATTCTCAAGGATGTCCTCTACCCTGCATGGTGATCTGAAAAAACTGATGTTTCCTCTAAACCCAGAGGAGCTACTGCAGGAAGGCTGGCCTCAACCGTAAATGCTGACTTTTTGCATTTACTTCTATTTTTTTCAAAAAGTATGGTGCTTCCCTGGTGGCGCAGTGGTTGAGAATCAGTCTGCCGATGCAGGGGACACGGGTTCATGCCCCGGTCCGGGAGGATCCCACATGCCACGGAACGGCTGAGCCCGTGAGCCATGGCCGCTGAGCCTGCGCGTCCAGAGCCTGTGCTCCACAACGGGAGAGGCCACAACGGGTGAGAGGGCAGCGTACCGCAAAAAATAAGAATAATAATAATAAATAAATAAATAAATAAAAATTTTAAAGTATGTAAAATATAAAATAGTCCTCCTGGGATTTCTGGCAGCAGATGAAATAACAGTCCTACATGTGGTCATGAGAAATTTCTAGTCATTCTTCCCAGCACCAGGGGTGAACTCCCTCACTTTCTGAGGGGTAGGGGAAGGTGTCCTGGCTCTGTATTTCAGAATCCTCCTTTGCCTTATTGTTTTGTGGTAGTGAAAATTCTCTTGAAATGTGCACTCTCTTCACTGTGCACTCTTCACTGTGTCAGATTTCTGAATCATGTTCCAAGTATTTGGCCTGCCACCCAAGTTCAATGCCAGTTTTAGCATAATTGTACTAAATCTTCTTTCAACTCTGAGTTGTAAAAAGTTGTAGCATTGTTGGAATTAGTATTGAATTAGAACACTTATTTCAATATGCAGATTCCATTGCTTTGGTTTAAACAGCAATGGTAATACTCTTTATCCATGCAAAATAAAACCATAAAATTAAGCTAAAAGCTTATGCTAAAGACAACTCATGCAGTATCATCAAAAAGCTAAATAGGGCTAAACGAACAGCCAGTAAATATCAAAAATATTTTTTAAAGGTAGAGGATGATGAGACAGGAGGCAGAAGAGGGAAATAGGGAACCTGAAACAACTACATCATTTGCACTCAAGATAACTTCCCCTCAATCACAGAAGAAATTTGACACCTTAAAAAGACCTCAAAACTGCAATTTGAAAGACTTTTTGCCCAATTCACTGCATTACATGCCCTTTTAGAATCCAAGACCCTGGTAAGGCACGTCATTATTCAAACATTCTAAGAGCAGGGCTTCCCCACTCCGGCCCAGTTCGGAAAGTGATACTATGAAAATGATCCCTCTGGGCCTAACAGGATATCACCCTTTGGCACGTGTATTAGTTTCCTAGGGCTGACATAACAATGTACCACAAACTGGACATCTTCAAAAAGGAACATATCCTCTCACCGTACTGGAGGCTAGAAGTGTGAAATCCAGGTATCAGCAGGGCCACTGCCCACTCCGAAGGCTTTAGAGAAGAATCCTTCCCCGCCTCTTCCTAGTTTCCTGGGGTTGCCAGAGACCCCTCACTTTCCTTTACTTGTCGATGCATCACTCCAATTTCTATCTCTATTGTCGTTGGCATTCTCCACCTATCTGTATGTGAATCTTTTCTCCTATTCTTACAGATCCGATTTAGGGACTCTTCTTTACCAACCTGACCTCATCTTAACTTGATTATATCTGCAAACCCTCTTTTCAAACAAGAGTGTTTATTCCCAAGTGCCAGGGGCTAGGACTTGAACATATCTTCTGTGGCGGGATGCAGTTCAACCCGCAACAGCATTATGAAATGACTCAGGAGGAGAATGAATAGAAGCACTTGGAAAGGCCAACCACAGTTCAGTGCCCTGACATTTGTCGCACATAAAAGGGAAGCAGAGCGCCAAGATGTAAGGACTAAAACCGTGATACTGTATTGCGGGTGGAAGCACTGCAATGTGAGATTTCACTCAAAAATACTGAAATACATTTGTGTAACACAGAGTGTAAAATTCAAAGAAGAGCAGTGTGCTGCTTTCCTTTCACCTGCAGACCTGAGGGTACTTTACAAGTTTAAAGAAGGCTCAGAATACCCACAAGAAGTAGATACTCACACAGCCTAAAACATCAGCAATGAGGCCAAAGAGTGCTGACATGTTAGTAGCAATAAAATGTCTTGAATTTTTACTTTTTTTTTTTTTTCAACATAGTCTGCAAATTAAGTCAAGCAGGTCTATGGTGACATGGGTCAGGATCTTTAACAAAATACCTAATTGGTTACTATCAAAATCCTCCCAATTGATATGTATATCACCATCTGAGCCATATATAGAAAAGGAGAAACAAAATGAATAAAAGGTTTGCCTTCTGGGTTGATGATATTTGGATACTCTTAAAAGAGCAATAAGACTGCATTAATTTACTCTACCAGGCAATAATTCAGGCATATCAATATTTTGTAATCTTAGAACAATTTAAGTATGTATGAGAAAATCTTAGCATGCAGCAAGGCCCACCACGTGACTTACAAAATACCTAATCAACACATAGGGCTTTTTGTTTTCTTTTTATGTCAATGAGGAAGTATGCTTTTAGATTCATATAATCTCAGAATTAGGATGAATGTTTTCTAACCAGATTTAGAGGGATGCTTTATAAAGATTTCATCCAACATTTCAAAAGCAGCAATACTTATTCAAAACTATGATATGACCCTACAATTCTATTTCAGAATACACTGCTCAATTCAACCTATTTCTACCCAATCAAACACAGGAGAGTCACGCTGTAAAGCACTCCTGCTGCAACAGGAAGCTGAACTATGATCGTGCAACAACCACTTCATTCCTCCTAAAGAAAGAAGTTTGCCATAAAGGCAGTCAAACCTTACCACAGGAAAGAGCACAGTTCCTCTTAGGAGGAGGTGAGTGGTTCTAGCCACCAACCCCACTGGGTCAAAACTGGCAGATATGTGTTTCAACCCAGTTAAGTTGGAGCTACCACCCCAAGGCCTGTGAGGAAACGTTGTTATTTTGGAAAGCAGAGTAGCACTCTCAATCCAGTTGAAGGTAAGGCTACAGAGTAAAAGATTATATGTAAAGAACACACACAAAAATTGTGAATAAAAGAATCTTATTGGCTAAAATGGAATTTGTTTGAATAAATTATCCCAGCGTGAGTTTTCTTGCAACCGAGCAATAGAAATGATACCATATTTGATGGTTCAGAAAACCTAGTGAGACTCAACACCTTTTATGTATGCATATACACACACACCTTTATTCCTGGAAATACTGTTTCAATATGAAACCAAATATTTTTATACTTCTCTATCTTCTAAAGCACCTGGAAATTGTCTGTACTTGTAGACAATACGTCTTCAGGAATGACACACCAAAACAGAGCTAAGTACCAACTCCCTTACCTTCCAGAGCTCAGGAGATCCTTCTATAAGTTTGGCTTTGATGTGACAGTATTTTAGAGCCAAATGCAAACACTCAGTTCCAAATTCCAGGTCATAGTCACTACACTGTGTAGGAAGAAAAAAGAATTAACAAGTTGAAATATAATTTTAAATAAACTAATCTTTTAATTTCATAATCAACTGTACATGGAAAAGAGCCCAGAAAACTCGCAAACTCTTTAATTAGCTACTGATTAATCAGGTACATTAATCTTCCCCATGCCCTAAAAGCCAAATGAAACAAATAGAAAACAGGAATGTTGCAATCAGAAGAGTTTTTAACTTCCTGAATAGTCTCATGTGTCAAATAAATATAATACTTCATTTCCTTTGCTCAAAAACTACATTTCCAAACACATTTGTGAAATGCCTCAAGGTACGACCAAGGATTACCGTATCAGACTTGATTTAACAAATATAGGTATCCATAAAACTCCAACCCCTTATTTCATATTTATACCGCTTTCTTATTAATTGGTATTTTAAATATCAACATATCCTTTTTAGAGGATATATTTTGATTCTGAACATGGCAATATTTCAGTCTTTCATTATGAGAAAAAATTTAAACGCCCATTAGATTTTAGTAAAATATAAGTAACATTTTTTAGCATTTTAAGCAGAACCATCAAAAATGACCAACACAATATAATTCAGCTGAGTAACAGTCACTAAGTACCTATCAAGTCCAAGGTTTGTATTAAGGACCAGAATAAAAAGACAAATGAAACATGTTTTGTGGCCTCAAGGAACTCAAGTCTAGAAAAGGAGGTTGATCCATACCAAATATTTTATAACAGAATGTGATATGGAGCAATAGAGGAATATTTATAAGTAGACCAGGAGATAAAATACTTAATTCTACATGAGGGTATCAGGGAAGGCCCATCAGAGGAAACGGTCTCTGATCTCATTCCAAAGACTGCATAAAACTCAAGCATAGGGAAACCCTTCAGGCAAAAAGTGCCAAACAAAGATATAGATGTTGCAGACATCTGCTGGATTTGCATTTTACAAAGAGCATATCCATATAAGACAGACTGCAGGAAGACAACAAATACGAATATGACATTTAGCACCCTTTGCCAATCTTTATTGTACTTGAGATTACAAAATGCCAAATTTTAATGATTTATGAAGTTAATGTACAAGAAAATATAACCATCAAGTATACCCAGAGTCCCAAATTAATCAGAACAGTCTCAGCTTAAACTTTCTATACTGATATACTACCTAACATGACATTTATTAAACATTTTCATCTCTAATATAGTATTATCAGCAGTTGTTACATTCAAATACATTAAGTTTTGGTAAACCTCTACATTCTACTTTCAACGTCTGCACAGGTTCATCTAGTAGTATGCAAGTGAGACCAACCTACAGTAAAAAAAAGAGTTCTCTCCTAACACACTGTTAAATCCCAGAGATGACTAGCAATAACCCTTTTCCTGCCTCTTTCCAGATGCAAGATATTGAACACATGCATGGACAGCCTTAAAAGCGCTCACAAAGTGCATACTAAGAGGAACCCACAGGAACAGCTACTTCCTTTGTATCTCAGGGATGAGAATTACTTGATGCTGTGCTCCTGCCACTCACGTGATGTACCAGCCAACATGGCAACAGCTTACAAACTGCATGAAGTCTTCAGGATTCCAATCAACAGAGCCAACAGGAAATAAGGAAAATGATGGATCAGGTACTTATGAAATATATACTAGAAACAGATACTGAGCCATCCTGGCAGAAATAGTCTGAAGCTGTTATTCACTGTATAGATTAATATTACAACTATTTACAGGGTTTTTGGTAATTTTTTTTGCATTAAACCTTGCTTCTACAGTTACCTCAAAAAAAAAAGCATGCTTAATGACTAATTAAATTCTGAATGTGTTTCTTAAGAACATGGATGACGATTTCCACTTCTGCCTAGGATACAGAAAGCTGACAATGATGCTCATTTCAGAACAAAAGAAAAAAGCAGACAAACTCCAAAAGCAGAACTTTTCCTCAAAACATCAGAGCTGAGGTCACAGGATGACCAAGTACCCCTAAATCTAAGAAAAGGCATGCCTCCCCCCAAAAGGTAGCGAGTGCCATACAGGCAGGTAAGAAGCAATCACCTAAAAATTCCAACGAACTGTCAAACACTGAGTGGAGGAAACTAGGAGAATGTAGAGCCTCTGGGAATCACAGCCGCAACAGGAGTGTATACCCACCCGCAGGGTCTTCTTCAGCAACCTGTTACTGGGTGCTCATGAAGAGGTGTAACAGTATTTCAAAGTGACTGTGAGTTTAAACTCAAGGTAATCACTGAACAAATGTTTTAGAGTAAGAAGTCAATAGTGATAAGAGGGAATCATAAAATGAGAAATTAATACAAAGGCAGGCAGAAAGAAAGAAAAGGAACAAAAATAGATCACCCAGCAAGATGGTAGGTTTTAATCAAGTAAGTTAATTAATGTGTAACTACACAAAGTATCGACATTATCCAGCATGGGGGCCATAGTGCTATCACTGATCACATGAAAAACACACAAATACATAGGTGTGGAGAACCCTCTGCCTCCCTAAACTTGGAGCCCAAAATAGTGTTAACAATGTTCTCTTCAGGCAGAAGCCCTTAGCACACTATTGTCAGAGGTCCCCACAGACACTACCAACCCCAGTCACCTTACAGTGAACCTCACAATCAACAGGCCCACTTATAAAATCCACAAGTCCAACCAGTCTCCAACATACACACATGAGCAAAAAACCCAGATTTAACTGAAACCCAAGGTAAAACTAAAATGAAAGATAAGGTGAAAAAGGCAAAAAGTAAAGTATTTCGTAGGAGCTAGAAACTATACAGTTAATAAAGACTTAATAACCCCAGAATAACAGTGTCTATACTCATAAAATAAGGATAATATTTAAGAGGATAATAGTTAGAAGGGTGGAAAACAGAAAAAGATAATAGATGACTCAACCACAAAGTCCAATATGTTAAAAAAAAAAAAAAAAAAAAAAATCAGGGACTTCCCTGCTGGTACATTGGTTAAGAAACCGCCTGCCAAGGAAACTTACACAAGCCTCTTGGATAGCCTCATCCACCAGAGGGCAGACAGCAGAAGCAAGAAGAACTACAATCCTGCAGCCTGTGGAACAAAAACCACATTCACAGAAAGACAGACAAGATGAAAAGGCAGATGGCTATGTACCAGATGAAGGAACAAAATAAAACCCCAAAAAAACAACTAAATAAAGTGGAGATAGGCAACCTTCCAGAAAAAAAATTCAGAATGATAGTGAAGACGATCCAGGACCTCGGAAAAATAATGGAGTCAAACATCAAGAAGATGCAAGAAATGTTTAACGAAGACCGAGAATTAAAGAACAGACAAACAGGGCTTCCCTGGTGGCACAGTGGTTGAGAGTCCGCCTGCCGATGCAGACGACACGGGTTCGTGCCCCGGTCCGGGAAGATCCCACATGCCGCGGAGCGGCTGGGCCCGTGAGCCATGGCCGCTGAGCCTGCACGTCCGGAGCCTGTGCTCCGTAACGGGAGAGGCCACAACAGTGAGAGGCACGCGTACCACAAAAAAAAAAAAAAAAAGCTGCCAGAAGCTATTCAGTAATATGTAATGGTTGTGTAGAGTTCTATTTTCTCTGTAGTGTGGGTAGCTCTGAAAATGTGTACAACCTTCTCCTTCTACTTTCCCTTACACCTAGTTTGCATTAAGAAAAATGGAAGAAAAATTAGCAGTGAAATTGGAAGAATAAAGGTAGAAGATGAACAAAGTTTTAAAGTATATTATTCTCAATTTTGACAATTACAAACATGGATATTCTCTTCCCGTTTTGATTTGTTCTGTAAATCACACATAGTTGAAGTTACTTTTTTTTTAATTAATTTTTTTTTTTTTTTTTTCTTGGTACGCGGGCCTCTCACTGTTGTGACCTCTCCCGTTGTGGAGCACAGGCTCCGAATGCGCAGGCTCAGCGGCCATGGCTCACGGGCCCAGCCGCTCCGCGGCATGTGGGACCTTCCCAGACCGGGGCACGAACCTGTGTCCCCTGCATCGGCAGGCGGACTCTCAACCACTGCGCCACAAGGGAAGCCCAGTTGAAGCTTTTTTGTTATGTGTATATTGTTTTCCTGTCTTCTCTACATAGCGGTTAAGTGACTAACATCAAATAAATAGTTTATGATACACCTCTCACACTGTTCAGTCAGTCTCCGTGGACCATCACCCTATAGTTAACCTCCTGCCCAGCCCTTTCTCCTGTACCATCCTCTGTTATGCTTCAGTTCACTCCAACTCATTACCTAATAGGCTCTTCACCTCCTATATTTGAAGGAATACCTATTGCTCACCAGCATCCTCAACTGGTTTCTACTGCTTTTCCCAACCATCACTAGTAAGTGGTTCAAAGGCAGGGTACGAAGGCAGGATTAACATTCCAGATCCCTACTGCTCTTCTTCCATGCAAAACACTCTTTCCTTCCAAAATGCGGGCCATCTGGACAATGTTCCAACCTTCATAACACTATCATTTCTCACTACTTCATAGGCTCTGCAGTTTCAGGCACATGGGATCAGTCTTCCTTTTTACTCCAATTACTGACATTATACTAGCTGAATTCAAGGTCCATGTGCACAAACTTTAAATACTCTAGCCATTTCCTTGACATTTATCTTCACTTGAACAACTAATTTCTGTTTTGGGGAACTTGATGTTTACCTTTATCTGTGACTCCTCTGAAACTTTTCATTCCATAATCCAGTCTGACTGGAAGATCTAACCATCATTTCTCTTACTCTCCTCTCACAATGAAGTTGCCCTTTTCCCTGAATGAGGCACCCAATCCTATAAAACCTCTATTTGCTCTTGATTAGGAAATGTTCGCTTTCTTAGACTGCCCTTCATCAACCAAGAGACTATGGTGGAAGGCATGAAAAATGTCATTACTAGCACCCCAACTGCTTTGATCTCTTGTCCATCCGCTAGATTTCCTTTATAAACTCCAACTACAAAATCATGTCATCTATTCTATTTTCTAAATTTTTAGTTCATAC